GGTCTGCGGGAAATGCTGCCAGCGAAGGGGAGGCGGCGACATGGCACAAACCCAACAGGAGCCTTCTGACGCTTAAGCTGATCTCCGCTCTGGACTTAAGGAGTTTTATAGGGTGGTTCAGAGTGAGGTGGTTTTAGAGCCCTTTGTGGTCCAGCCTGACGCAGCCTGAGCACACAGTCACCTGCGGGGCGGGTGCGTGCCGGCTGCCACCGGAGGGTCCCCGTCACCCGGGCGCTGCCGCTGCGGAGGCGACCAGCTGCCACCGCCGGCTCTGCTGCGCGTTTCCGCGTGATGCGAGGGGCCTGTGGACGCAGCACCAGCGCAGAAGGCGAGGGGAGGGATACCTTTTGGATCCTGGCTGGAGGAGGAGTGTAGGAGTTGGAAGATGACTTTATAATTGCTTTTTTTTATCACTGTTTTTGGCTATATTGACTTTATACTTGACACAGCTTCGGCTGGCAAGTGAGGCCCAGATACATTCAGAATTAGATATGACTAGGCTCATTCTTACATGAGAAGAAAATCATCGGTTGCTACAGAAACAGCTCCATATCAGTCTCGTGGGGCACCTTAGCATCTGGCTTTCTTTCCTTCTCTTTTGCTAATCTGTAGATAAGAGTCAAAGCAAGTGCAGCACATCCCACATCTATATAAAAGGTTGGAGGAACTCTGCAGAGAGCAAAGTGTGAAAGAACATCTTGTAGATAAGCTAAACTTAAATGAATGAGTTAATTTACACCCCTCAACATTTTTTTTCTGGTTTTGCAACTCTTCCTACTTGAGGTGATGAAAATTAAATGACACCAATCAGTAATTATTTTAAAGGTCATCAATAGCAACAAAAGGTCATCAATAGCAACAAAGAGAAGGGGGGTATTCAGAGAGAGAGTTACTAGGAGAAATTTAGGAAACAACCTGAGGAGTGAGTTAGAATCTGTGCCAAAAAAATTGCATACAGCAATTGAATAATCTTCCAGACTTGGTTTTAGGCAAGTTGTTTAACTTGACAAATTAAGGAACTAGTTAAAAATAAGTGAGTATTATGGGTGAACAGGGACCAATCTGCACACATCGACTTTAGCTAGGCTTTTCAACTGGTTTTCTAAAATGTAATGAATTCTTGATGCTTAATAGATTAATATTTATTAAATGAATCAATGCTTAATTTATTAAAAATTTGCCTTCCTTGTATTTTAATATGATTTATTACTCATCAGTGCTTATTGCATTAATTAAAGATCGTGTTAATTTTGTGGAAGTGAACATGATCCACTGCAAGTTTGCTGCAAAACCCTAATGCACTGCAGGGACCGTGCGTCTGGATAGCACCGGCGATAGAAAAATGCATGCGGTGGGAAGCGGGTGTGAATCACCGATGGCCTCTCTTTGCCTTTGGGCCTTCACATAGCCAGCAAAGGGAAAATGAGGCTCTGCTGCCCCTTAAGGGTATTATGAGATTTTAGTGATGGAGATACTGTGATGATACAAGGAATCTTTGTTTACTGCTTATAAGTTATGGTCGGCATCGTGGAAATCATTTTAATGTTAGCATGGGAGGCTGTCACCTCTTGCCAGACCAGGGGAGATGGATAGTCATCACATTTCAATGATCAGGTGGGAATTCTTGGGACATTAGGTTGCCTGAAGCCTGAGACAGTCCCAAGCATTTCTGCAGGGGCAGGTGTTTGAGGAGTGGAAAATTGCTAAAGGCAGAACAAAAAAGCCAGACATCTTGTGGAGAGGAGTCTTTCAAGAAATCTGTCAAAACAGGGAGAGAGGGTGATCATGCTGGAGGGGGGCAACAGCTGCAATTTGCATCTTTCAGCACGGAAGGGAGAAGAGAATATATTAAGCCCCACAGTCATGATACTTCTGATGCAATTATTTTATTAATCTTTGTGACACTTGTAATGTCTCTCTTTTTAAATTCAAATTCTGCTGCTTTTATAACTACTTATAAGTGTGCCTGTATGTTAGAAAAAAAAACTCCCTGTATTTACTAGTCTGCTTGTATCCAGCTGAGCCCTGGAAACTGCAGAGAGCTGGCCTCTGAGTGCTGAGAGCAGGGCTGAATTTCTGGAGATTCAGAACGCGTAATTAGTGCATTTCTACATGCTTCAATGCATGATTCTCAAAGGCGCTTTGCTGTGTCCTGCTTCCCGGGTTCGGGTGAGTATTCACATAGTTCTTTTGCAGAGCTAAATTACAGGAACCTCCTCAAGGTCTGTTGAAGGTCAGAGCAGAGGAAGCTTTTCTCTGCCAGTGCCCCAGTTGGGCAGTGACCGTCATCTTCCAGCCAGGTGAATTTGGATGCGGCCAGTGCCAAGGATGTGGTGGCATTTCAAATCTCTTGCAGCAGTTAGGTGTTAGGTGCAAAAGATCAGCGCAGATCCACTTAAAGTCGGAGAAATAACTTGTGCTTGAAGTTTAACACATGCATAAAGAGTTCCGGTATCTGGAATTAGTTTATTTTTTCAGGGCCAGTTTGAAGACAGTAGCCAAATAGGGAGAAAATTAAAAGCTGTACATCTGGCCTATAATAATTTAATTTTATTTCATTTTTTTATGTTATATGCTTTTTTCCCAGCATCAAATTAAGCTATTTATGTTTTTATTTAACGTTTATTCTAACACCAGTTAATACACTTAAGTCAGGATTGGTGCCAATCAGGCTATGTACCTTCCCATCTATTCCAACACTGTACAGTTAGCCACCTTCTTTGACACAGGATATTTATATTCCACCTTTTTTTCCAGTAGAGCAGCTTTCAGGGAGCATAGATCTTGGGTGTATATTTTTTTACTTTAGCTGTTCATTAGATATGCAGCTTTTGGAGTTCCAGTTGTGCTGAGAAATGTAAGCAAAGATTTTGGCCCAGTGGGTGATAAGCCCTGGCATTTTGTAGCTTTGTATGCCTGGATCAGGATTAAAGCACAGTATCTATATAAAACTTAACTCATTAGGAGCAGTTTCTTCAAGTGGCTTTTACTGGAGAGGGGGGTGCTTTACTTACTTACGCTATTTCGCTTTCTTTGCTTTCTCTCTCCCTGGGAAAGGAGTCTGGGGTGGGCAACTCTACGAGGGTAGTGACAGTGTTTCTGCCTAGCTCTTGTGGAAGGGAAACAAGGAACATGAAGTCTTCTGCTCCCTTTTGTCATTAACCTGCCTGGCAGAGCTGGCTAAAGGCTAGGCATATGCTGGCCTTAGTATCCTATAATAAAGCAAATATGATCTGGCACACTCCTAACATCGTACTCAAAATGACTTGTCAGAGGTTCGAGAGCAAGGAATAACCATGAAATCAGACAGGAATGAGCTTTCTCATGAAAATTGTTTGCATCGTATGTGAATTGAGGTACTGAAGACCAGAAAGGTTTCAGAAAAGGTTTTTTTCACCCTATCGCCCCACTCTGTCAACCCAGTAGGCCTTGTTCTCTGTTAAGTGTGTCGCTGAGGTAAATTCAGTGGATGATGAACTGTGTCCACACACTTCAGCCAGTGATGCTTTACTTACAGATAAATGATGGGTTAGGAAAGGAGTTTCATCAGTCATAATTTCTAAGGAAGAGCG